CCGCCACAACGCCCGGCTATTTTTTGGTTGCAGCCATCATTGTTGTTTGGCGGGTCCGGGCTGGATTCGAACCCCCCACCTTAGGTGTATGTGGCTGGCGCCTTAGCCACTTGAGCCACAGGGCCAAGCCAGTTTTCCAGCCCTTTAATCATCTCTATCACTGGGAGGTTGCATCCTGCCTCTCTAAGATAGGGATGTTTGAAAAGACTCAAACTCACCAAGTCTTCTTCTACAGCAGATCCTGACCCCAAAGATGGAGATAAGTGGGTTAGAGGGAAGGAATCAGAAAGATGGCAACAGGCTGAGGAATAAGGGGTGATAAAGGAAGCAAGAGGCATGGGTATGAGGGAAGCAGCCAGAAGCTGGGAAGGGAGAGGAGAGGATACAGAGGACCAACATGAATTTAGGAGCCTATAGGTAAGGAAAGGGCAGGGCCTAGGTATGACTATGTGTTTGGCGGAAAGGATACAGAAGGGGATGAGAGGAGAGTGATGCAGGGTTTGTGGGTAGAAACTAAAGAAGGGGTGGAGGAAGACAACAGGAGAATGCATAGAATTCAGGGACTAAGAATAAAGAGGAAGACTAGGAAATGGTTCCTGGTTCCTAACCTTCTCGCAAAGACTGGAGCCCCTGCTCCCTCCATAAGTCACAGAAAAAAGCTCGCTGGGGACTATCAGCACCTCCAAAGGATAGTCTTCCACAGCTAGTCACGGGGTAAGACCAGGCCTTTTCCTTCCTCAGTTTACTTCCCAAAAAGCAAGGCTAGGCACTAGTCAGATAGGCACAGCAGATGTTTGTTCACTAAATACCTGTTGCTTAGCTCCAGGGGTGGAGAGGTTGAGCCTCAGGAAAATAGACACACATTAAGACTGGAGCTTCCACATCAGTGGAGCTTCCCTCTTGCCCCCACTTAGGTCCTCTTGAGTGCAGGTGACCCTTGGGCTGCAGGCTAAGGGTGAAGGTCTGGATTAGCATCGATCTTGCAGGGAGAGTGAGCTTTTTCTGCAGTCCCTGGGCTTCAGAGGCTCCAGACACCGCCCCTCTCTCAGCCTCACAAATGTCACAACTTCCCAGAACAGAGAGAGAGCCTTCTCCAGCCAGAGGCCCCTCTCCCCTCACACATTATTGAAACACACCCCACCTCTGAGTTTCATCTTCTAGTTCTGAGCTTTCCCACTTCAGAGGCTACTATCTCGGAGCCGGGAACCCTCTGACCTCAGAGGTCCCTTGCAGCTCCTGAGAGCAGGTACAACCGCTGGGAACCCACTCTCATCGAGCCTCCCCTGGCTCGAAGTGGCCCTGTCTCCGCCCCGGCCGGCCGGCCGCACCCGCCCAATTAGTACTGAGTCGAGGACCTCCCGCCCGTAGCCTCAACAAGCAAACTTCCTCGGCCTGTGCCCAGTCCTGGACCGGCTGGGCTTCCCTCCCCCGGACCCCGGCCCGCCAGCCCCCGCCTGGCCTCACCTGGTGCCCTCCCCGCGGCGGGGGAGCTGGGGGCGGTGGCAGCGGCTCCGGGATCGAGAAGGAAGTGAGAGCCAGAGGCCGGAGGAAGTGGGGGGGCGGGGGGGCGGGCCGGCCTGGGCGGGGCGCGGGAGTGGGCCTGGGCGGGGCGGGGCCCGACCAGGAAGTCCACAGGCCTCCCCCCAGCCTGTTGCCGGCTTGGTCCTGGGGTCTCCACTTCCCTCACCCCAAGTTCTCTGGCCCTGAGGCCCTTAAGTCTGGCCTCCCAAAGTTAGGTCCCACTCCTCCTCCTTGCCACCCTACACCACTCTAGCAGAGGCCCTACCCTAGGCGTGTGTCCTTTTCTCCGGTATCTCGCCCCCGCCAACCTCCGCGGGAAGATGCTGAGAAAGGCGCCTGCTGCCTTCAGCCAGCCCCTGGGATGGATGCAGCCGTGGTCAAAGCTGGGGCAGTCCCCACCCCTGTCTCGAGCCCCGTGGGAGTGCGGGGTGGTGGTGATTCAGCAGTGGGAAGGCCCCAGACCCCTGGGGAGGGTGGGGAGATTGGAGGAAGGGGAGCTGGCGTCAGCACCCCGGGGAAAGGCAAGATCAGCAGAGGAGGAGCCGCGGGCCCCAAAAACAGGATGTCGTGTAGTCGTTCCGCGCTCGGCACCTCTGCGCGTCTGGGTTCTGGGGAGGAGGCAGGGTGGACAGATGACCTGGGGCTCCCTTGCCGAATTTACTAGCTCTGGCGAGAAGCTGTTTGGGGCTGAAAGGCCGCACCCTGGCCTGAGGTCCGGCTTGGGCCCTGAGGACCCACGGGTGGGTGCACTCGTGGGCGCCCTCTGGTGCTTCTGTTCCCAGGTTTTGCGCGCGGAACTTTGAAGACTCCACATCCTGCGTTCAGCATGAACTTTCTGAGCGTCTACCACGTGCAGAGCTCTGTGTTCAGTGAAGAAAAATAGCGTTTAAAACAGGGTCCTTGGGCGGCGCCTGTGGCTCAGTGGGTAGGGCGCCGACCCCGTATACCGAGGATGGCGGATTCGAACCCAGCTACAGCCAAACTGCAACAAAAAAATAGCCGGGCGTTGTGGCGGGTGCCTGTAGTCCCACCTACTTGGGAGGCTGAGGCAGGAGAATCGCTTAAGCTCAAGAGCTGGAGGTTGCTGTGAGTGTGACGCCACAGCACTATACCGAGGGCAACAAAGTGAGACTCTGTCTCAAAAAATAATAATAAATGAAATAAAATAAAATAAAAGGGTCCTTGCCTTCTAGAGGCTTTTGAAAGAAAGAGAAAGAACAATTCTGGAAATAAGTAGCTTAACCTTTCCTCATGAGCCTGAAATCTGTCTTTGTTAATATGGAGTAATTTCTTTTTCACCAAGTAGTTGTGAAGAGAATACATTAAAAGTCCTGCTGTCGGCTCGGCGCCTATAGCTCAAGCGGCTAAGGCGCCAGCCACG